ATATAAAATAAAAATACACGTTGATAATATATGGATATAAAATTAGCTGCATTAAAGAGATATAGGTAGAATTTTTCTATTTAATTTTATATATTCTGCATTAATCATTAAAAGGAACAGTTATGCAATATACAATTGAACAGACCTTTTAAAATAATTTTCTTGAACAAAGCTAGAAAACATTATTCAGTTAAAAGGATACAAAATATATGTAGCAAAATACGCTACAAGTACTTGTACATAAAAGGTGTCCTTATATTTGGATAAAACTTTTCCTAGAGCCTTGGCATCATCCATATCTCTGGGAACCTTCATAGTCACTCTTTCTTCTCTAAAGAAAGAAAGTTAAAGTGAAAAAATTTTAAAACAGAATTTTGCCAATAAAATTAATATACAGATCAACTTCAAAACATGCAGTATTACCCAAAATGATTTTATGTTTTGATATTAATATGCTAACTCTAAATTAACAATTTTAAACTCAAAAGTTTGAAATTGTTTTTCAAATGTTTTCATTAAGTTTCATGAAACCTTTAATCTATAAATGAAAGTTCAAAATGATTCAAATTTAAAAGGGGTTATTACAATATTGGTTTGAATTAAACAATGAATCACTGATATTAGCATATTTTAAAATATTAGCATCATTTTTGGTAATCCTCATAAATGAAAATCAGTAATCAATTTCAACTAAAATGAAATAAACATTTTTTAATGTCAGTTTATACTTTTTCTCAAACATAGCAACTCAAAATCGACAAAAGAATTCCTGAACTTTTCTCTACCAATTTGCTTTTATGTTTACAAATAAATACTTTTTACAAAAGTTTTAAATCTCATACCCAACCACTTTGTTTAGGTTTACATACATACATATGCTTATATGTTTACATACTATCATTTAACTGAACCTGCAGAACAATGATAGAATGCTCTTTCTTAGGTCCTACAAAAAATAAGGTAGTACATTAAACTGGCTTTTAAAGTTATAACATTTAAAATCTTTCTCTTTTTCAATCAACTCTCTATTCCTTAGAACCTGACCAAAATTGCAAAGACCAAATCTAACCATCTTATCTATATTATCTATAACTAGCAAAGAAGTTCTGCTGATACAATGGCTAAGTACTCAGTTGCTAAGCTAAGGGGTTAGGAGTTCAAATTGACCAGTGGTTGTGAGGGAATGGAAACCTGTAGGTGCGATCCTGTAAACATTGTTAAGTGCCACTAGGTGGCTTGTGACTCATAGCAACCCTATGTACAACAACCCTGAATACTGGTCTATCCTGAGTCACCTCATCATTTCTAACACACCCACCTCCATTATGCCAGTCACTGAGTCAATCCATTTCATCCAGGGTCTTTCTTTCCTATGCAGTCCCTCCACCCTCCCAAGTATGATGTCCTCCAAGAACTGGTCCTTCCTTGAAACATGCCCAAAGTCAGAAACCTTGCCTCTAAGCAGCAGCCTGGTTTTACCTTCTCCAGGACAGACCTGTCTGTTCTCCTAAAAGTCCATGGTTTTTTGATTACTCTTCTCCAGCACCACAACTCAAAGGCATCAATTCCCTTCTTTCATTCCTAGTCATTGTCCAACTTTCTGACGCATAGGAAATAACTGTGAAGACCTTGGACTGGATCAGGCGCATCTTAGTCTCCAGACTGACATCGTTGCTCTTCAGTACAATGGAGGGGGGAGGTCCCTGATAGCAGACTTTCTTGCAGTGTTTTCTTGCTCTGTACTGACAACTGACTCCTGGTCCACGTACAAGTTTCATACAAGCACAATCAAGTGTTCTGGGATTCCCATTCTTCTCAGTTAGCCACAGTTGGTTGTGATCCAGTCAGATACGTTTGCATCATTAATGGAACACAGACAGACATTCTTCTGGTACTCTCTGCTATCACCCAAGATCCATCTAATATTAGCTATTATATCCCTAATGACCTCTTCTAAACCCAGCCTGGCCATCTGGCAGTTCTCTGTTGGTGTGCTTTTCCAGTCCTTTTGGATAATTTTCAGCAGGATCTTACTTGTATGTGATAGTAATGATATTGTTAATTTCTACACTCTGTTGGGTCACCTTTTTTGAAATGGGAACAAACATCTCTTCCAGTCAGTTGGCTAGGTAGTTGTCCTCCAGATTTCTTGCCAAAACTTGGTAGGTGCATCCAGGCCATGGTCTGTTTGTTGACATATGTCAATTGGCATGCCGTCAATTCCTGGGGCCTTATATTTTGCAATTCTTTAGGGCAGATTAAACTTCCTCCATCATGACAGGCTCTTGATCATACATTTCATGAAATTCTTATATGTCAGCCAATTCTCTTGTTTTTTGTGTACTATCAAACTGGATTCAACTGACACAGGAGACTGTCCATCCTTCTCCAACGGAACATCTGATGGATTCGAACCATGTGCCTTCGGGATTGCAGCACAGCTTCTTGACACTAAGCCACGAGAGCTCCCCAGCCAATTCTTTTTGGTACAGTGATGTGTATATTCCTTCCGTCCCGTTTTTTGTTGTTGTTGTTGTTGTTGTTGTGTACCATCGAGTTGGATCTGAATGGCATAGGAGATTGCTCTCCTTCGCCAGTAGAGCATTTGGTGGATTCCAACTGCACTCCTCCAGGATTGCAGTGCAGCTTCTTGCCACTAGGTTACCCTTCCTTCCATCTTCTTTTAATGCTTCCTGGACACTTCATATTCTGCTTAAAGCATCCTTAAGTGTTTCATTGTGTACCGTTGAGTCGAAACAGATCCATAGCTTACCCTCTGGTGGGTTTTTAAAGACGATTAACTGCATGGGAGGAGATTACCCATCCTTCTCCCACAGAGTAGCTGGTGGCCTCCAACCATGTGTCTTTGGGATTGCAGTACAGCTTCTTGCTACAAGAGATGTCAAACCGAGTATGCCTTGTAGCAACTCTGAACAAAAGACCTGAATCCTGTCATATCTTCATCATCTCTGATATGCTTGACCCTAAAGCTGCAGTTGTCATCTCAATCCATCTTCACTGGGGTCTTCCTCTCTGTCACTAACCCTCCACCTTTCTAAGCATGCTATCCCAAGGAAAAGCCTCTCCTAGTAACAGTCTAGGAATTACTAAGTAGCAGTTCTATTCTGTCCTGTACGGCCAGAACTGGCTGATAGCACAAAATAATAACTAGCATAACAATAGTACTTGCTATCTTCCCAAGAATTTTAATGTATGTAAGAAATTAAGACTTTAAAATAAAGTTAATTAAACTTTATTTTTTTTAAATTTTAGTAATTTTAATAAAAATTTACAGATATTTTGGACTTCCATTCATTCATTGTTACACTTTTCTCCCTGCCCCATCCCTCCTCCCCAGTTCACTCCTCTCTTTGAAAAGTAAAAGAAATATTATTTAATTGGTATACAATCCCCCGCACACAACCCCTGCCCCAAGTAGACTCCACTATGCAACCTTAATTCTGGACTCTTGTGATAACCATAATACCCAAACATATATCACTTTTAAATTGTTCTCTCCCTCATCTGTTTCAATGCAGTATACACAATTTATCCAGTTTTTCTGTCTTACCCTAAGCCTGATGTCAGTCCCATTCTATAACAGTGGTACCATGCAGTATTTGTCCTTTGGTGACTGAGATATTTCACGCAGCATAATGTTCTCCAGCGTCACTCATTTTGAATAATATTGCATGAGTTCCTTGTTCTTCAATGCAGCGTAGTATTCCACTGTGTGAATAATACCACAACTTCTCTATCCATTCATTTGTTGATGGGCACTTGGGTTGTTTCCAACTCCTTGCTATTGTGAACAAAGCCACAACATGGGTGTGCATATATCTGCTTGGGTGACGGTTATGGTCTTTTTAGGGCATATTCCCAGTATTGGAAATGCTGGGTCAAATTGTATCTCTATTTGCAACTTTGAGAAAGCGTCACACCACCTTCCACAGTGATTGCACCATTTTACACTTCCACTAACAGTGAATAAGGGTTCCAGTTTCTCTACAACCTCAATAGCATTTGTTGCTTGCTGTTCTGTTAAATGTTGCTACCCTGACTGGGGTGAGATGATATCTCATAGTTGTTTTGATTTGCATCTCTCTTAGAGCTAGGGATTTTAAGCATTTTCTCATGTGCTTGTTGGCCATCTGAATGTCTTCTTTGGTGAAGTGTCTGTTCATATCCTATGCCCATTTTTCAATTGGATTATTTATCTTTATCTTGTTGTGGTGCTCAAGTATTTCATAAATTCTAGATATAAGTCCCTTATTTGACATGTCATTACCAAATACTTTTTCACAGTCTGTGGCTTCCCTTTTTACCCTGTTGGAGAAGTTTTTGGATGTGTATAGGTCCCATTCTTAGAAGATCTATTTTATCTTCTCCTGGTTGTAGATCAACTTTAATTTTTATTGGCAGGTGGGCCCCACAGTGTCCTGTGGGCCAACAACTAAAATTTTTAGTATTTTAAGCATAAGAAAGTGAAGGAAAATAATTAAAGGCAACAAAAATTTCCTGACACTATGAAATCACATTTTCCAACTATCCATTTAGCTTGCATTTCTACCAGGCTAGTCCTGGCAGAAAACATAACTATATCTTAGTAGTCCCTCATATAATCTAAGATTATACAGCGATGGTATTAAATAATCCTGGGCTATGTGAGTTGTTTAAGGCCTACAGTCTCTTACCTAAAAATGTATAATTTCTGCAAAGAAAAAAGTTTTTTAATTTGTCAGCAAAATTAAGTAAAAACATCACATTTTATTATTAAACTTGGTGTTATTATGTCTGTTGGTACAAAAATATTAATACATTTGATAATGGGAAACTGCCCAGAAGTCTGCTAAAGGTATTACATATTTATAAATTATAGTTCATGTTATCATTCCAAACTGGAACATTCTAAATTCTGAAAGGTATTTTATTTACCACAACGTTTTGGGCACTGTGAACTTGCACCAACCAGATATACAAGGTTTAATAAAGTTAAGCTCAACATAAAGAGTACGTATTCAGACCAAATCACCTGGAAAAACTGAGAAAAAAAAAACAGCAAGGAGACAGGAATGTAGTAAGGAAGGGGAAATGCTGAATATATAAACTGGCAAAAATTAATCAAAATAGAAAGCAGGAAGGAGAAAACAAAAGGAGGGAGTATAGTAAAAAGGGGTTTTTTCCCAACTAAATGAGAATATCTCTTACTGATCTGTAAAATAAACTTATTTGATGACTACTTGCATTAAAAATGAAATTAGAAAATATCAAATGATAATCAACTGAAATAAAGCAAAAACGAAGTCATGAAATGCTAACTTGCATGTGCACAACATGTATAACATATAAAATGAAGATGGAGAAAAATAGCATGACTATAAAGAAGGTCATAATATAAAAATATACTATAGTTGCATTTTATAAAAAATTGTCTGAAAGCTGAGAAAATCAGGAAACTTAAATGGTTTTCAATAATAGTGTTAAAAAAATAACAATGTTGATATGATATTGCTACAAATAAGGAGAGCTGAAATATTGTCATGACTGTTTTTGTTACTTGAAATAAATTTACATTTCAATTTTTAATCCATTCCCATTCCTATAATGCCTAGAAATTTTCACCTTCTCTTTCAATATACTTACTCACTAAGCTGGGGAAAATTTTTATATACCAAAAACATAACAAAAGCTGCAGATAAAAAAACGGACACCAATATAAGGAGCGACATTCTTGCGGACCCAGCTTCTGCTCGGGCTTTCTCTGAAAAGAAAAACAAAAACAAACTATAGTTAAGTAAAAGGAAGACAGTTTCTAAGCCAGCCAATGTTTTCCTTAATTGCTTTTTCTCCATAAAGCATTTCTGTCCTAAAATTTTCAGTACTTTAGTACTTGGTTTATTATCTGGGCATATCACTTTTGGGGGAGATAATATTTTATAAGCATGGAAAAAAGATCAGAAATCATAATAGCATTGATTTGTTGATAAATCAAAGGAAACGAGTTTAGGTTTATTTCCTTTTTATGTTCTAAATGCTATCACTGAATTTCAATTTCATATAATTAGATTATGAGTTTTAGAGGATAGAGAGAATGAATGACCTTTTAGGAAAAACTCAAGTAGTTTGTGAATTACATAAACTCTCCAAAGAGCCCAAAGACGGTGTAGCCACTACGGAAGGTGTTTTGGTGCTTTTTAAAAAAAACCACCAAAGGTAAAGGTAAATAATCCAATTGAAAAATGGGCACAGGATATAAACAGACACTTCACCAAAGAAGACATTCAGATGGCCAACAAGCACATGAGGAAATGCTCAAAATCCCTAGCTCTAAGAGAGATGCAAATCAAAACAACTATGAGATATCATCTCACCCCAGTCAGGGTAGCAACATTTAACAGAACAGCAAGCAACAAATGCTGGCGATGCTGTAGAGAAACTGGAACCCTTATTCACTGTTGGTGGGAGTGTAAAATGGTGCAACCACTGTGGAAGGTAACTGGAACCCTTATTCACTGTTGGTGGAAGTGTAAAATAGTGCAACCACTGTGGAAGGTGGTGTGACACTTTCTCAAAAAGTTGCAAACAGAGATACCATTTGACTCAGCAATTCCACTACTGGTAATATACCCCAAAGAGACCATAACTGACATCCAAACAGATATATACACATCCATGTTTATCACGGCTTTGTTCACAATAGCAAGGAGTTCGAAACAACCCAAGTGCCCATCAACAAATGAATGGATAGAGAAGCTGTGGTATATTCACACACGCTGCTTTGAAAAACAAGGAACTCATGCAATATTATTCAAAATGGGTGATGCTGGAGAACACTATGCTGAGTGAAGTATCTCAGTCACAAAAGGACAAATACTGCATGGTGCCACTGTTATAGAATGGGACTGACATCAGGGTTGGAGTAAGACTGAGAAAAACTGGATAAATTATGTATACTGCACTGAAACAGATGAGGGAACAATTTAAAAGTAATATATGATAAGGTATTATGGTTATCACAAGAACCCAGAATTAAGGTTGCATAGGGGAGTGTATTGGGGCAGTGGGAGGGTGCGGGGGGATTGTATACCAATGAAATAATTTTTCTTTAACTTTTCAGAGAGAGGAGTGAACTGGGGGCAGGGGAGGGCTGGGCAAGGAGAAAAGTACAACAGTAAATGAATGGAAATCCAAAATTTCTGTAAATGTTTATTAAAATTAATAAAAAATTTTTTAAAAAGATATTAACTAGGTACATAAACCTTATTTGGATTCTTATTTGATTGGTTGTAAATATCAATAACAATAATAAAATATTTTTACTCAATAACAAGTGTCCCAAGAAATGGAAAACAGAGAGAAGTGGAAGGAAGGATGTTACATTGTGGGGACTGCAATCAACATGAAATAAAGTGAGTATAGTTTGGTCAATGAAAAACTGAAATGTTTCATAAACCTTTACCCAATTCACAACGAAAAAGTTTTTAAAAATGAGCAGAGAGCATTAGCCTAGTAGGTACAGTGAAACATGTGAAAATATTTCTGTCGTTAAAACTAACTACAAGGATATTTTAATTAAAAAATAGTAAATTCCTGCTGAAATGCTGCATTAAAAAATTTAGAATGGAGTGTTGCTATACTGTAGGGTATTTATAATCAATGTGTATCAATTGACAAAATGTGTTTAAATCATTGAATAGAAAACCAACCTGCTCTGTAGATAGATTTTCAACCAAAGTTAACAATTCACTAATTACAGTGATGAATGTTATACGGTCTCCTTACTCCCAAAGATTTGTCACATAATGTTGAGTCTCAAATTTTTTTATGTTTTTTTTCTGTGCTCCATAAAGAAAACTCCTCCCTCTGTTGCCCAAGGCTCTTCTTACGCAATTTATAGGCTCTGAAAACCTCTGAAGAGTCAGCTACGAGTTTGCTCCTACTGGAAGGAAACGAGTTGTTTGTTGATATTGTCCAAACAGGCTAATCTCAATGGCAGTCCATCAGAGTCAAGACTCTCCCAAATCCAGACTGAGTGCTTATTTCCCCCTAAATAAATCTAATATCCTCACAAATACAGAAACTGAGTGGTCCAAGGTCAGACATCTGACCTTAGTAAAAACAATTCATTATTAACTGACTAGATTTTTCTATTGACAACTTGAACTAAGAGAAAAATACAGCAGTCAAAGGATAGCAGGCATTAAGGCTGTAAAGTCATATAGCTGTTGCTGTTATGTGCTGTCATATCGCCTGCAACTCAAAGTGATCCTATGGACAATAGCTTTGGAGCCTGCTCTGTCCTGAGCCAGTCTTACTGACTCAGATGCACTTATCCACACCAATCCATCTCATCTAGGGTCTACTTATCCTGCACTGTCCACCCTTCCAAGAATGATGTTCTTCTCCAAGGATTAGTCTCTGCTGGCTATATGCCCAAAGTATGTGAGATGGAGCTTCAAAATCCTAGCCTCCAAGGAGAAACTTGGTTTCACCCTAAGATAGACGAATTTGTTTTCCTGGTAGTCCATGGTATGCTCAAGACTCTACTCCAGCACACAACTCAAAGGCATCAATTCTTCTTCTATCATCCTTAGTCATTATCCAGCATAGCAAGTAATTGCAAAGATCATGGACTGAATCAGGTACACCTTAGTCTCTAGACTGACATATTTAAACAAACAGATGCTGCCTTGGATGTGCTTACCCACTTGGGCCAAGAAATCTGAGGACAACTACCTGGCCAACTGACTGAAAGAGATCCATATTTATTCCCATTCCAATAAAAGGTGAGCCATGGGGAGCTCTGGTGGCCTAGTGGCAAGGAGCTGCAACTACAATCCCAGAGGCACACGGTTCGAATCCACGAGATGCTCTGCCAGGAAAAGGAGGGACAATCTCCTCCTGTACCGGTCATATCTGATTTGACGGTACACTCACACAAAAATTAAAAAATTTAAAAAAAAAAAAGGTGAGCCAACAGAGTGTGGAAATTATCGTGCAATATTACTCAATGGGAATGTTTGATGGGGAAGGACTGTGGAATGAAGGACCTCATGGCGTGCCTTGGTTTTCAAATCTGGTTGGGTTTTTGAGAAACATACTTCTAAGTCATACAGCACCCTTCTGTCAGCTTGCTGTATTGAGGTAATCTAGGTTTGCTGTGATGCTGAGCCTTGTGCCATTCGGGTGTCAAATGCCCTAACAGTTGCCTATGGTGGACAGTGTTTGGTGGAGCTCCCTGTTTAAGACAGTTTTGGAAGCAGGAGTGGAATCCACTTCCTTAAGCACATTCCTATGGAAACTCTACAAACTTGGAGAAACAACAATAGTTATAGAAAGACTTTTGTTCATAGGGTTGCTATGAGTCATCATCAACTTGATGGCAATCAACATCACTCATATCACATGCAAGCAATATCCTGAAGATTATCCAGAAATGACTGGAACAGTACACTGACAGAGAGAACTACTAGAAATACAAGCTCAGTTTAGAAGGTGCCATGGCAGTAGGGACATTATTGCCAATGTCAGATGGATCTTGGTAGAACATAGAGTACGAGAAGGATATGTGTGTTTCATTGACTATGCAAAGCCCTTTGACTGTGTTGATCCCAAGGAATTGTGGTTCCCTTGAGGGGAATGGGAATTCCAGAACACTTGATTGTGTTTATGTGAAACCTATACTTGGACCAGGAAATAGTCCTCAGAAGAGAGCAGGGAAACACTGCATGGTTCAAAATCAGGAAGGGAGTGTGTCAGGCATGTGTCCTATCTCCATAACTCTTCAATCTATATATGCAGACCAGATCATTATTTTGGAGGCTGGACTTTATGAAGAGGAATGTGGCATCAGGATTGGAGGAAAATGAATTAACAACCTGTTATGTAGACGACACAACCTTTCTTGCTGAAACTTAGTAGGACCAGAAGCGCTTTCTGCAGAAGGTCAAGGATGGTAGTCTTAAATATGGATTGAAGCTCAACATCAAGAAGACAAGGATTCTCACCACTGGGCCAACTGGCAGCACCATGATGGATGAAGAAAAGATTGAGTTTGTTAACAGTTACAGCTGGCTTGGCTCCACAATCAACAGTTTTGGCACCAGCAGTCATGAAATCAAAAGGTGAACTGCATGAAATAAATCTGCTGTCAGGGACATTTAAAAAAAGTCATATAGTAGAGGTTGGAGTATTGTATAACACCACTGTTATAAAATAGGACAGACACAAGGAGGCTGGGGAGAGAATGAGAAAAAAGTGGAGAGATTATGAATGGTGCATTAGATCAGATGAGGAGAACTGTTCAAAACAACTATATGATTAGGCATCACATGTATGACAACAATCTAGAACAAGGAGCGCAGTGCAAAGAGGGTTGGGGGAGAGAGGAGGGAAGGAGTAAGAAAATGTGTAACAATGTAAAAGAATTAAAAAAGAAAAAAGCAAGGGAACAAGGAAACACTACATGGTTCAAAATCAAGAAAGGAGTGTGTCTTCTATATGCTTAACAGATCACTTTAAAGGCTGGACTTTATGAAGAAGAATGTGGCATTAAGATTGGATGAAGACTCATCAACAACCTGAGTTATGCAGATGACACAACCTTGCTTGCTGAAACTAAAGAGAACAAGAGGAGTTTGCTGTAGAAGGTCAAGGTCTGTAGTCTTCAATATAAACTAAAGCTCAACACCAAGAAGCCAAAAGATTCTCACCACTGGGCAGACTGGCAGTCATGATGAATGGAGAAGAGGTTGAGATTGT